TTTAAAACAAGCAGTAACATGTATAAAGAACTTTGGAAATATATCTGGATTGACTCTCAATATTAGCAAAACGGAATGCATGTTACTAGGCAATTTGAAGAATACAGCACATAATTTATATGGAGTAAAGGTCAACAAAGAAAGTATTAAAGTGTTAGGAATTCATATTGGTTATGACATAGAGAAATGTATTGAAAAAAATTGGGGAAACAAAATTAAAGAGCTTGAGAGACTTTTCGAATCATGGAAAAAAAGAAAATTAACTATATTCGGGAAAACCTGCATTATTAACAATCTTGCTGTATCCAAATTAATATACAACCTCTCACTCTTACCATATCCTAGTGCTAATATCATAAAAAATATCAATAAAATTATCTTCAATTTTATTTGGAATAAGAGAGACAGAATAAAACGAAGAACCTTAATAGGGGATATACAGCAGGGTGGTATAGGAGTTGTGGATATAGAGTCTAAAGCGAAAGCAATTAAATGTTCATGGATTTCCAAAATAATATCAGATGAAAAAAGCAACATTAAAATCTTTTTAGAAAATTTCAATTTAAGAAAGCAAGATATTATCTACATGTTACACACTAATAACTTAGCAATACATGATCACAATATACTTAAGCATCTTCCGATATTTTATAGAGAAATTTTTGAAGCATTTAGTGAAACTAAGAGCCCAATGGAAATAAGTAAAATGACTACATTTGACTTTCTGAGACAATCTATATGGGGAAACAAAATTTTTAACTACAAAAATAAGGTATTATTTTTTGAAAACTGGTATGATGCTGGAATCTTATATGTAAAAGATATTGTGGATGAAAATGGTATCAAGCCACTCGAATACTTTTTAAACATGCTTGTTAAAAAAAATAACATATTTTGTGAGTACTTGATATTGAAAAATGTGTTTCAGAAATATAAGAATCAGTTTGATTTCAGCTTATCAAAATATACAAATATCAGAAATACTTTTCATTTTGTTTTAAATGATAATCAATGTCACTGTATCAAAGACAAAAAATGCAAGTTCTATTATGATATCTTTAAAAATAAAAAATTTGTAAAGCCATGCTATATTAACAAGTTTAGAAAAGAATTTATTATCCAGAATCAATGTTTTTCCAAAATATATTTTTCCAAAATTGTCAAAGTCTTTGACAAAAAAATCGCAGATTTTAACTATAGAATACTTAATAATCTGCTTAATAATAGAAGTTATTTAAGCAAATGGAATGACATATCTAATCTGTGTCCATACTGTAAAGAATGTGTTGAAACAAACAAACACTTATTATACGAATGCCAAAATGTTCAAAGAATATGGAATGTTGTTAGTGAAATTTTAAAATTTAATGTATCATGGAAACTTATAGTAGTAGGATTCTATAATGAAGTCAACGAAAAAACAATTTTATTTACCAATCTTATATCATTTGTAGCCCTTAGAATCTATAAATACAAAATGCTATGTAGACTGGAAGAAATAGCTGAAACGCCAAAAGCAATTCTTTGTCATGTTAAAAAATCCTTAAACACGTTTTATTATGCTCTTAAAAGATCAAAATACAAGAACTGGAAAATAAATATATTTAAAAAGGTCGAGGAAAGTCTGTGATATAAATCATCCAACTTTTATACATATGAATATATATATATATATAAATATATATATGTATATAACATAAAAAAAAAAACTATATTAACTTAATCTCATTATTATGTATGCTATGTATTACTCTTCGTTTTCAATATATCTTTTTTCTTTATTTTACTTCAATGTTAAAACATGAATATGTATAAACTATAAGAGTTGTTTTATTAATAGCCACTATTAAGAGGGTCCAGTCCTCTGATAGAGCTGCCATATGAATCAATATGAACTGCAGTGGGACGACATGGACTCATTATGGCAGCGTGGCATAATTATGATACATCTTATCAATTTAATTTGCAAGCTGTACAAAAATCAGTATATTGAATTATATAATATCTAAAGTATAAATTTACATAATATAAATTATAATATACATTGTATCTTAATTATACAGGTATATGCATCCTGCGAGATGCAATAGCTATTGTATCACTTGGAGCTTAGTCGGGGCCCCATCCCCGATAGCTGCCTTCTTTTCAAATATAAGGATATATTCTTTGTTATAGATTAGGTCTGGGAAATAAAGTTTATTTAATAAAAAAAAAAAAAAAAAAAAAAAAAAATCCTCTCAAGAACTACTGGCTAAGAAAAGATGAAACATACGTGAAAGCTTCACTACATAGTGTAGATGTAAATTTGTTCAAATCATGACCCTCAAGAAAGGGTGGGGCCATAATGGGCGATCAAGGTTTTACATAGGAATTTATTGGAAATTTTTTTTAAAAGCTTCTTCTCAAGAACCACTGGACCAGAAGAGTTGAAACTTATATAAAAGCTTCTTTATATATTGTAGAAGTAAATTTGTTCAAATCATGACCCTCGTGGTAGAGTGGGGACGCAATGGGCGATCATGCAAAGTTTTACATAGAAATTTACAGGAAAAGTCTTGAAAAATCTTCTCAAGAACCACTGAACCACTGAGCGAGGAGTTGCACCATCAATATTTATCAACATAGGAATTTATAGGGAAAAAAAATCTCTAAAAATCTTTTTCACAAGAATAGCAAAGACATCATGTCATACTGATAAGCATGCATCCTCATGTAGTGTAGATTCAGGTTTGTTCAAATCGAGACACCCCGGAGGAAGGGTTGGGTCGCAATGGATAATCAAAAAGTTTTACATAGGAATATATAGTAAATAAATCTTCCGATGAAGAACAGCAGGGCATATAATGGCCCATATCAGCGTTGTGGACCATGAGCCTCTTGTTTTCAATCAGTTTTCTTTGTGATATATGTGTACGACTCTTTTTTTATATGCATAAGAATTTGTTCACTTATGACATTGATAATTGTTTTGATTTGCTGCTGGAAAAGGTTTAAATATTGCAGACATAAGAAATCTTTCGTGCAATTCTTAAGTGAAAAACAAAACATTAGTAACATTTATATCAAAGTTTAATTAATAATTCACAGTTGCTGATCATTTCCTTGAAAAGGAATACTTCTATGTATAAGTCATACACTACACACCTTTCACATTTTCTGAGCGCAAAAAGAATACAAAGAATATATTAATCAATTCCTAGAATTTAAATCATCATTAAAATTTTAGTATTTTTGCCAATAATTTATTTCCCCTAATCCATTTTTTTTTGTTATCACCTATTGGAAATCAGAGATTAGCCTATTCGAATGGGTGATAGCAACCATACAGTTTGAAGATATCACCTCATCAAATAGGTGTTTAATCTATTCAAAACGAATACCTGAAGGTATGATGACTTATTCAATGAATTTGTAATATCACCTATTTGAAATAGTAATGTCACCTCTTTGCATTTCCTATAGACTTAAGTATACTTCTTTTAATAAAAAATGAACTGTCTCTTCTTGAAGACATTGTTACTCTTAAGGACATACTTAACGTACCTTACCTACTGATAGTTTTTCAAGATACAGTGTATTCTTAATTTATGATTATAGTGCTATCAGATGTTCGTAGACAAAAAATCAGTATGCATTACCAGGGGTTTTGAAAAGATATCAATTGATGAAAATTCTTGTATAATTCAAAGAAAATTTTACAAAAATTACTAAACATATATTCTAGATGTTTTGTTTATCCAAACTTGTTTTAAAAGAAGTGTACAACAGCATATATAGACATTGAAATGTAGCACGCAGTTCCTTTAAGTATTGTAACTCTTCAACTCCAGGGAAAAAGACAATAAAGTTCAAATTACGTTGTGTATGTCCTTAAAAAGAAATATGGCGGCCACCAAAGCAAAGGTGGAAGTTTTAAAAAGCATTCAAAGAATTTTTTACATTTTGAACAGTGAAATACTGTAATTTATTTATTTAATAAAAGTGTGAAAGAATATCAAAAGCATACGGCAAAACTCGAGATTAATTTTCTTTCCCTTCACGAAATAATATGATACATACATGTAGTCGCAAGTGACGCCACTACATCAACAATTTAAATTGAATATGTTATATTGTCATTCAATTCAGAGGCTGAATAAGCGATTTATTTTATTCTTAAATATTTGATATCACTTAATGACAGTATGTACATGTACCAAAATAGCCCTCATACCAGAAACTGTCGCTGTTAGCAAGTAAGCTTTGTATCTACGGAAAAAGCTGAAATCATGAAATCCCGTAAATTTATGCACATACTGGGCTGTGAACAGGATATAAAAATATATACTTAATAGCAATATAGATGGTAGGGATTAAAAGCAAAATCAAACGACTCAGTTTGTAATTGAGAATCGTTCACTTTTTGAAAAGGGGCGTGGGTCAACAAATATATATATGTACTAGTATTTTATTTTCAATTTTTCATCAATATAAAGAATGATGATTTTTTTCAATAAAAAAATGAATGAAAAAAAATCTGCTAGTAAAATAATTTCTATTTGAAACTAGAATATGTGAAAAGAAGAATAACTCATTATGTGATCGACATTTTACTTATCATCATTTAAGATATGATAACGAAGAATAAACACCAAGCCGGAAGTATAAAGTCTGGTCTGGTTAATATCAGGGCGGTGGCTAAAAGAACGTTAGTCCAGCTGATTAAGGTACATTTTCTGACGTAGACACCTGCTGTGATCAATATTTACTATCCAGGCTAATTTGTAGTTTGCATATACTTAGTAGACTTTTGAGTATATTGTCACATTTTAGAAACATTTCAAAACTTGCATGTGTATAACTTAAAGTTTGTAAACTTGAAGTTTAAAACTCAAAGTTGAGGATTTATAATTCCCCCTTCAAATTTCTATCTTACAGATTTAAAAAAATATAAATATTTAAACAATTTCCTGTATCAATAATTTATTTACAGATTCAAATTTTGACGATCAAGTTAAAGAATGGCTACTTCAATCTCCTTGGCCCAGGAAGTCATCACGTGTGATCTTTGTGACACGCCCACTCAACAATTCTGTAACAACTGTCAAGTCAGTTTATGTGTCAGTAAACATGTGGACAAGCACCAGGCTCTCGCACATGACATTGTTCCTTTCAAAAACAGGAAGACAGAACATATTTTTCCAGAGTGTGAATTTCACCCCGACCATAGATGCGAGGGCCACTGTCAACAGTGTGATGTCACTGTCTGCATGAAATGTGTCATCACTTCCCATAATGGACATATCGTGGGAGACATACCAAAAAACTTTAATGACAAGAAAAAAGATATCCAGAGGGAAAATCATGAAATAGAATCCAATATCATTCCCAGATACATGAAGAAAAATGAAAATATAGAAAAAGACAAAGAACTGGTAATGAAAAAATTTGATGAGGTTGAAAAAGAAATAGAGAGACACAGAAAATCGTGGCATCAAGAAGTAGACAGCATCTTCAATAAGCTTAGATCTTTGCTCAAATCTATGAGAGACGACCACCTGACTGTATTGAAGTCACATCAAACCAAACTCAAAAATCTGATTCCAGACATGATGAAAACAGTTCAAGAAAACAAAGAAATACTCAAGTCCAATAAAGTTGCTAAAGTCACAAACTTCACATCTAAACTTATGGGATACAGAAATATTGGTCTAGACATTTATTTGTCAGTTCCTGCACTGCAAACTAACACAGTTCAAGGGAGAGAACTCAGTATAGAGTTAGGTGAATATAAGGCTACTCTGACGCAGACATCACTCTCCAACCAGACAGAAGAAGTCTCCTATATATCTACAAGAGAGTTATTAGACAAAGCAAGAGTTATTACTACTTTTCCTACCTCAGCTAAACCTCTATACAGACTGGCCTGTTTAGGATCAGATAAAGCTTGGGTTAGTGGAGAAAACAATACCGTGAACTGTCTTGACATAAACGGGTCTGTACAGGAGACTGTTTCTTGTGAAACACACCCTGAAGATATCTTTGTGACCAAAAACGGGGAATTAATATATAGTGATTATGAAAATAAAAAGGTGAACATTGTAAAACACGGTAAAACAGAGGTATTGATCACGACACAAAAGGACTGGAATCCAGCAGGACTGAGCAGCACTAGATCAGGAGACATACTGGTCAGTCTGTATAATGGAGACCAAAATAAGATTGTACGTTATCAGGGACAGAAAGTGGGGCACGAACTATTTAAAGATGAAAATGAATAACTAATCTATGGAAGTGGTAAATGGACCCTTTTTGTTGCAGAGAACAAGAATGAAGATATCTGTGCCTCTGATCGCAATGCCGACTCTGTAGTAGTAGTGGACAAGACAGGAAGAGTCCGATTCCAATACGATGGTACACCAGCCATAGGGAAGAAGAAATTTGATCCAAATCAGCTAGTGACAGACTCTTTGAGTCAGATCATTGTAGCAGATTGGACCAACGACTGTCTACACATTCTGGATCAAGATGGAGAGTTCCTGAGATGTGTGGATAATTGCAAATTATCTAGGCCCCTAGGACTGGGTTTGGACAGCGATGGAAGGTTGTGGGTCGGATTATATGAAAAGGGAGATGTAAAGGTGATCCAGTACATGAAATAAACTTGTAGTATAATATTTCAGAATATGATCGTGTACAATGTGTGTTCTTCATGTTTGTATATAAACGGAATCTAAATACATGTATACAGTTTAGATGGTGAGGGCGTACAAGTTATGTTTTTCATGTTTGTATATATCTGATCAATATAAAGCATGTGACCGATTGATAGGGGATGCTTACTCTTCCTAGGCGCCTGATCCCATCTCTGGAGTTTCCAGGCGTCCGTCTTTTATGTTCTGCTCACAATTATGTAATGTTCCTGGGATTTATGAGATCGATCATTATCCGTCATCTTCATTTCTTTTCATTTAGAAAAAAATCCTGGAAAAAAAGTATCACCTCACCTAACTACCTCTTCACAATCTGCGAAATACACTGTTTAGTGAGACCCTATAATGTTAAACGAGAACTTCAGTAAATACGTGCAATGCTAAAGAATACCGACATATAGCGAATTTGATTATTAACCAAGAAGAAAATTAGATCATCTTTCAATGATATAGCTACCTGATTCTTAACAATCAAATCAAAATACTGTTGAAGTAAATAACCATTCAACGTTGCAACGTAAAGCAAGACCTCTATTGATGGATTTTTTTTCACCAAAAGTTTATAGAGTCAATAAGTGCCAATATCTAAGAAGAATGAAGGGGAAAATAGAGACAACGCTTTCTTACTTTTGAAAAAGAGAAAATCAACGTAACGCCCAAAAATGCTGAGGTTACCAAATACTGCGATTTTATACTTTTACAGGACTGTGAACAATTAAGGAATGTTTTTCAGTTTTGTGTGAGTTATTGGTGTGTAAATCACACAGACTTGTCACGTTGGCATATTTCATGAAGCGCGCTAGCTTCATGAAAAATATGCCTACGTGCAAGTCTGTGTGATTTACACACCAATAATTCACACTAAACTTAAAAACATTCCTTATATTTACATTTTACAAGTTCAAAAGCAACAATATTATGCTCAATATTTGAATTTCTTGCTGCCCTATATCGTTACATTTTTATTAACGTCTCTGTAGCCTCATTGTGACGTCACTTTACCGCGAGTTTCACCGTGTATATTTCTACGCGTGAGTATACACAAAAATGAACTTCAAATCAATTTCACAGTTGGCTTAGTAGAAAAACATAGCAAATGTAAATATTATATTATAAATTTAAAACAAAACAATATAGATAGAAAGGATTAAAAGTAAAATCAACAGCTTGCTTTGTTATTATCAAATAAGAAGTACTCATTCTTGGGTAATTTTCTACTTTTGAAAAGGTAGTTTGTTAAAATGACGTATTTGAGTAAATTTTTTAATAAACAATAAGTGATAATTTATTTCAATAGAAACATTAGCAAAACATCTGCTAAAGAATATCAATTTCTTTTACAAGGTCTAAGAAATTCTGTTCTGTGTTGTTTGTTAGAAACATGAATATTTGAAAGGACAAATAAGTCTAGTATGGATGTCATGGAGTGATCTACATGTTATCTAACCAATATATCCTGACAACAACTATATGAAATCTGATACATGTACTTCCGGTTTGACAAAGATAACAATAACAAAACTGAAAGTAAAATCATAGTCTACGTAATATTGGGGTGGTTAAAGAACAGTTTAGCTGATTAAGGTATATTTTCTGATTTACCATATCTTTCTTAGATCAATATGTATTATAACATTTTAAAAGAAATGTACTTTTCATTTTACACCTTACATACAAACTATGTACACTAGAAATTAGCCATCCCAACAATATATAAGTAGATAGATAAATAAATAAACAAATAAATAAATGAATAAGAATACAATTTGGAAAAATAAAACAAACAAATTTCCCTCGAGCACATAAAAAAAGAAGATATTTCAGCTCTCATTTTCATAAAGGCGGATGTAAGATTTTTTTCTAGGGGAAAATAAAATTTGATTCAAAAAGGTTTTTGATAAGCAAATGGGCACCCTATGTGGAGTCATTTTAGTCACTTGATTATTTAAATTCAATAACGCTGAAAATCATTCAGAGAGATTTCTCCAGACCCCTGACTCCTCCCTCCCCTCCAATCTGGATTTAATACTGATTATTTTAATGTTCAAAACTACATCATCGGTCAGGGTAAAATAGTGGTGGGGCGTTTGCTTCGTGATCGGGAGGCCGGGGCTTAATTCTCGTTCGCCGCGCCGCGTCAAACCTAGGACGTAAACAAAAGTAGTGACTGTTCCCTCGCCAAGCGCCCGGCTTAAGGAGGGATTCTTGTCTGGTTTTTGACTAAATGAAATATTCAAAGTATATTTGCTTATAGGTCTTATATAGTTAATTGTAAGGGATTTAAAAGATCATATTTTTCTTTCCTCCTCATAATTATACAACTTTAAATAGGAATGTTAAACTGAGCTTGAAATCTAGCAGGGGACTATATTTTTGGCGGTACGATGGCGTATGAAAATATCTCCTTTTCTGCTTCTCAAAATTACTACAGAACAATGAAATTAGTTAAATTTTTTAAACAATCAAAGGCTTAAAAAAATTCTACTGTAACTAAAATTGATAATAGTCGTAAGTTATAAAATATATCAAATAGATATGATTTTCCAATCAAACTACAATCTTGTTAGCTTTTAAAAACTTCCAATCTAAATACAGATTTGAGCAAAAAATGAGTAAAAAGTGTTTTTTTCTCTTTAAGTAAACGGTCCAATTTTTTGTTTTTGTATCGTTTTGTATCTTTATAGTACTACTTTACCATATGTGAAAATAAGAAAAATTTAAATATTAGAAGCATATAATAATGAATAATATTCCCTAAAAATCTAAGAAAAATTGAGAAAATTTGGATTAGCTAATATCTATTTCCATTAAATTATTTATGTCAATTTGGTAGTATCTTCTGAGAGACCCTATATGGTAACGCCTTTTAACGCAAAAAGATAAACAATTTATCTTTTGAAATAGAAGAAGGCATCACATGATTTTCAATAGTAATATTTTATTCATAATGTCAAAGAAAAAGATAATGACCTTGACCTGACCTTGCTTCTAAAATAAAACGGTCAAATTTAATATAATTGATACCATCACTTAGTGATATTGTCTTTTAGAATCTACGAAAATTTCATTAATATTTAAATATAAGAAATATGAGAAGAATCCCTCCTTAAGAAGTGAAAGTCACGGGTCTTTCGGACGAGGCCTTAAAAACAGAGGTCCCTGTCAAGGTAGGCGTTGGCACGATAAAGAACCCTCACTGCTCAATGGCTCTGAGTGCCGAGTGTAGGCCTAATTTTGAAGCCCTTCATTGGCATACGATGACGTCTCTATATGAGTGAAAAATTCTCGAATTGGACGTTACATAACACAATCATCCAACCAACGAATTAATTAAAATTACATCAGCTGAACGTTAACAAAATGAGAAAGATATAACAAACATCTTAAATGACAAAAAAGAAATCTATCTGATATGTTCAATTTTATTTCTCTTTATTTTTTCTCATTATCACTGACAGTGATCACTCCCTGAACTCTGAATTTCATAATCTGTCATGGTTGACATTTCTTTTCTTGTGCTACTCCGTAGTAAAATGTTTTATAACTTAATCTTAAGTTTCTGATGTTTGCATTAAATGTATAATCATGATGACCCTTATATAACCTTGACCAGTTGTTCCAGAATTTCTAAAAATAAATTATCGTAATTTAGATACATTATGCTTCATAACAATTTCCTGTAAAACAATTTATTTACAGATTGAAGTTTCAAAAAACAAGCAAGAGAATGGCTACAGATACTTCGATTTCTTGTGCTCAGAAAGTCATCACATGTGACCTTTGTGACAACCCTATCCAGCATTTTTGCAACAGGTGTCAAGTCAGTTTATGCGAAGAATGTATTAACAAACATGTAAGGAACCAGAAGTCACTAACCCATGAAATCGCTCCTTTCAAGGAGGGAAATATACAGATTGTTTTTTCAGAGTGCAAATTTCACCCTAACCAGAGATGTGAGGCCCAATGCCAACAGTGTGATGTCCCTGTGTGCATGATATGTGTCACCACTTCCCATAATGGACACAAAGTGAGGGATATAACAAACATATTCAATGACAAGAAAAAGGAAATCCAGGAGGAAATTCACGAAATCGAATCCAGTATTCTTCCCAGATTTACGAAGAAAAATGAAGATACAGATACAGAGATAGCCAAATTTGTGAATAAATATATTGAACTTGAGAAAGAATTAGAGAATCAAAGACAATTTTGGCACCAAGAAGTGGACATCATCTTCAATAAACTGAGCTCTATGATCCAATCCATGAAAGATGACCACATGGCTGTACTGAAATTACACCAAACCAAACTCAAAAACCTGATTGCAGACATGATCGAAACAGTTGAACAAAACAAGAAGATGCTGAAGTCCAATAAAGTGTCTCAAGTCAACAACTTCAAACCGAAAGTGGAAGAGTACAGAGACATTCCTGAAGTCACTGACGTTTTGATTCCTTTATTGAAAACCAACACAGTTCAAGGGAGAGATCTCAGTATTGAGCTAGGTGAAAGGAAGGCTACACTGGCACAAACATCTACGAAAGAGTTATTAGACAAAGCCAAAGTTATTGCCACATTTTCTACTGGAATTAAACCAATATTTAGAGTAGTTTGTGTTGGAGCTGATAAGTCTTGGGTAAGTGAAAAAGGAAGAACTATAAGATGTGTTGACATTCATGGATCTGTACATGATACTGTCACACCAACATTAAACTCTTCTGATGATAGCCCAAAACCTAAAGAGGAAGAACTGATATGTATATCAGTGAACCGAAATGGAGAACTCATGTACAGTGATTATAACAATAGAACTGTTAACATTTACAGACATGAGAGGACAGAGATTATGATTACCTCACCAAATGATTGGAATCCAGCAGGATTGACTAGTACTAAATCAGGGGACATACTGGTTAATCTGTATAATGGAGACCAAAATAAGATTGTCC